AGAGCGATTTCAAGTGTGTTTAAGACCCTGGACTTGGTGGGGAAAAAAATATCAGTTCAAGGTTTCATAAAAAAAAAAAAAGAAAAAAAAAAAAACCCAGTGGCGTATTTCTCTAGGAAAGCCAGTGACTCAGACCAGCATCAGGAGCCCTGTGAAGGACTCAGACAGGGCCATTGTCCCTGGGCCACCTGTGTGCACAGTTGCCATGCAGTTACTCTCAGGGAACCTATTATCACCACATTCTTTCTAGTTGTTAGTCTAGAATAAAAAAAAAATCGCATGTATTTTAGGAGCTAGGTCACAAAGCTGGCAAGTGAAAAGTAGATCCGTAGTGTTCCACAGGGATAATTAAAGCAGGAACAAACGTGACTCATCAAAGCGTGTGTTATCTCTGCTCAGACCCTTCAATTACAGTGGATTTGGGATCACTGACAAGAGAGAAAAGACAGCAAATGAGCAACAGCCAGAACAGAGCTGACCTCAATGAGCATCCGCGAGGGAGACGGCAGCTCAGGAGAGGGGCTCAGATGATGTGGGCAGCAATAGTGTAGATGAGAAGCAAGTGATGGGGTGCTCGGTAAGAAGATTCTGGCACAAGAGACCCTGGGATGGCAAAGCCCACGGGCTCCCAGCTGGCATTGAGACAGGACTCAGGGTTCAGTGTGACGCACACACTGCCTACTGTGCTTTTTCACGATCTTCCAGGAGACAGGAAATGCGTACCACAAAGGCCACAGTATTGTCAACTCCCCAAGTAGTCGGAGAAAAAGTGAACAGTTGGTCCCCTTCCTTCCTCAAAAAATACCACATCCTCCCACTCTTCCCAATCACTGACGTAGTCACCAGCCACTTTCTCAAAGTTAACCTTTTATCCTAGAAGCCTGGGTGTCATCAAGGTCATCAAGGTCACCTAGGAGCCGCCTCAGCAAGGACACACGGCAAACACTTGGTGACAGCATTCAAGTCCCCACCCCTCCCTCAGCTGAGCCTAAAAGATTTCTAGCAAGACTCACTCAACAGCTTCACCCCATCACTTTAACCAAGGACCATGACTCGGAAGCAGATACCCAAGTACCTAGGAGGAAAGACCTCCCACAGTGGAGGAAAGGAGAGGTGGCTGTAACCCCACAGTGCTCTGGGTCACAATGCTCCTCGGCTTTGCACAGCACAGCCAATAGTACCGCTGAGTGATGACAGGGATACCAGACGACTCAGTGACTCCACCCACCCAGACACACTGCTCTCCCCCCAACTGCCAATTTTTTTACAAGTGTATAGGATCTTTGACACCATTTGATGTCAATTTCCATACAATGCAGGCAGAGTTCCTCAAAGCTAAAGAAATGGCGTGAAGGTATTTCGAAGGTCACATAGGTGTGCCCATCTCCCTGTGACCTTTATAAAAACTCTTTCTGGTTATAAAACCTCTCCTGCTACCATGGACATGGGTTCAGCTTTAGGTACCTGGCCAGGAGTCTCCATACTACTTTCCAAAAATAAATGTCATTGTCACATTCCCAGGGGCTGCTTGCTGGATAATACAGACAGCAGATGGGATGCTGGGGTATGTATGCCGTCGGCCTGAGCTGATGGTTAAGAAGGAAGGCTTTAGAGAGTGGATTTGATCAGCTGTGTGACTTGAGTATCTGGTGTGGGACCAGTAAAAGACACTGGTGGATGGAGCACTAGGCACCAGGGAAGAAAGCCAGCAAGTCTCAAGAAGAATGCTCACCTGCCCAGCACCTGAAGAATGACCACACTGAAAATATTGTGAGAACCAGTTACATATTTCTTACCCAACCAAAAAAAATTAGAAATGGCAAAGCTAATTCTGCTTACCTCCCAAGAAGGCTTCCATGACAGCATAGGAAATGGGGACACGAAGGACAGCTGCCTGAAACCTGACCCACTAGAGGAAGTGAGGACATTCTTGAAGAGTGGGATTCTTAGGGCTGGAGAGATGACTCAGTGGTTAAGAGCACTGGCTGCTCTTCCAAACGTCCTGAGTTCAATTCCCAGCAACCACATGGTGGCTCACAACCATCTGTAATGAGATCTGGCGCCCTCCACTGGCGTGCGAGCATACATGGAGGCAGGATGTTGTATACATAATAAATAAATAAATAAATAAATCTTAAAAAAGAAAAGAGTGGGATTCTTGAGATGAAGGCTTACAAATTGATCGTTCTAGTCTTCCAGGAAGGAATCAGGGTCTGGGGATGTGGCTCATGGGTAGTGCAGTTGCCAAGCATACAAGGCTTGGCCTCAGGATTCCATCACTCCCACCACCCCACCGCCACCACTGCTCCTTCCACAACATAACAAGAAAGGAGAAGAAGAAAAGGATCCGGGTCTCCCTACTGCTCAGGAGGCCGAGGGAACAGAAACAGCACAAGTTTAAGAGAAGCCTGGGCATCATAATGGCATCCCTCTCAAAATGAAAAATACAGAGGGAGGAAGGAGGTAAACAGGAAAAAATTCACTGTGAGATTCTGGAATGGGAAGTGTTGCCCATCAAGACAGGGCTGAGCATATAAGGAATGTTCTCAGTACACGAAGCTCAGGGTTTCACAATAAAATGATGGGCTCTTTTCCAGACAGTTGACCATGCAGGTTTCCAAACCTCTTAAACTTCACTGCTTTTCGCTTGTCTTGCTGTTTCCCAGGTATATTCTGAACACATTGGTATCTGTTCAAGGGTTGGATTGCTGTCTTTGCCCTCTTCTCCTAACATCTTTTAGGCTCTACTCAGAGTCTGCAGACATTCAGATCAGAATTAAAGTATAGATGGGAATGCACTTGGAAAAATCTTAAAGCAATTGCTATGCACTGGAAACTGCAAATGTTAAATATCACTTCTACAAGCCAGACGGTGGTGGCACACACCTTTAATCCCAGCACTCGGGAGGCAGAGGCGGGCAGATCTCTGTGAGTTCGAAACCAGCCTGGTCTACAAGAGCTTGTTCCAGGGCAGACTCCAAAGCTACAGTGAAACTTTGTCTCAAAAAAAAAAAAAAACAAAAAAAAAATCAGTTCTACAGCATGTGACCAAATAAATAAACAAAGCAAGTCTGATAATTGAGGCCACAGAGACTGGTCAGCAGGTAAAAGCACTTGCTAAGTAAGCCTGATGACTGGAGTTTGATCACCAAATTCCATGGTGAAAGGAAAACATTAATACATAGAGACACACGCTGTGTGTGTGTGTGTGTGTGTGTGTGTGTGTAGCACACTCACACACATGCACATGAAAACACACTAATAAATATTTTGATCTTCTCTGGGTGTGATAGTATGCCCTCAGGAGGCAGAGGTAAATGGATCCCTGAATTTGAGGTCAGCCTGGTCTACTGAACAAGTTCCAGGACAGCCAGGGCTACACAGAGAAAGCCTGTCTTGAATGAAAAATTAATGACCAATCATAGCAAACATACAAAGCTGGGCGATACATAGAATAAGCTCATTTACTCTTCATATATGTACATATAACATGCACATTTAAATCACTTTATAACTAAAAGCTTAAAATAATAAAATGTATGCAAGAGCTTTGAATATTTGTACTAAACCCTCTTCATTTTGTAAATGAGAAAAACCAGTCCAGAGAAGTTTGACGACCTTCTTGAAGGCACACAGCTAGCTGCAGAGCCAAGCGCCAAAATCTAAACTTCAACTCTGCACTCCTAAGATCCCACACCAGTGACCTGAACAGAATGGTTTCCTCTGGCCACTCTCTTCTGTGTTCCCAAATTCTTCGAGCTCCCAGGTGTGTCAAGGAGCATGCTGGGGAGTGAGAAATGATGGACAGGCTTGGAGGTAGAACTAGCAGAAGGGCCAGCGCCAGCAAGTCTTGGACACTCTCCCAAATGAACAGCCAGAGTGGAGGAGGGGTGGCGGGAGGCGGCGCGTGGAACAGGAGAAGGGGGAAGGAGAGAGAGGAGGTGGAAAGGGGAGGGGAGAGGGGGGTGAGGAGGAGAGAAGAGAGGTTCTGGCGCCGCAGCCTGTCACTGACACCCGAGCAAGTGTGCTCCTCAGAGAACCTGACCTTGGTCTCTGAGATACTCTTATACTGCCTCCCCCACTCCTCCCCTCCCACCCCCACCCCCACCACCCTAACCGTCCTGTCCCACTTCACTGCAGAAACATTAGACCTTCCAGGCGTCGGGGGAAGGTGATTGAGGCCAACATTAGGACCGGGTAGCTGGGCGTCCCAGGAGCTTTTGGCGCAGCTGATGAAGCGCTCAGGAGTGGGTCTCTCTAGCTATAACGGTAGCAGCCGCTAGTGAAAACAGCGGCCAGTGAAGAGTCCCTGCCTCAAAGCCAGGAAAGGAAAGAAAATTAAACGGCTGAAGTCCTCTGGTCTCCAGGGAGGAAAACTTCTTTTCTGACTTTGACCGCTGGGAAGGGTGAGAAGCCAGTGCCAGGCGCCTGCGAAGCTGGTTGGGTTCAAAGGACCCAGCTCTAATCGAGAGTGCCCCAAACCCAAGACGGTGGCCAGATGATAAGAGTGGAGAATGACCCCAACCTGGAGTCTGTCGCTTTTGATTGCGTTTGGAGACTTGACTCTATCTACATCCCAGACACCCAGGTCCAGACCACCTGCCCAGAATCCATCAGCATCCCACTTCTTCTCTGGTCCACGAGTGGCAGTTCACCAGATTCTCAATCGCCTCTCCGCCCGCCTCTCCAGGTCCGCCCCCCTCTCATTCGCGAGCGCAAATCTCCCTTAGGTCCCTTTAAAGGGCAAAAGGCCCCGCTTTCTACTTTCTTTGCAAAATTAAAGGTACCTGACAACTAGATGTTTCCCATCCCTGGGTATATGACCCTTGATCCTGAACTGACCCACACCACCACCACCACGACCACCACCACCACCACCCCATAAGAGACTTGGAGCCCAGTGGATCCAAAGGCATCCGGCAGCTACTCTGTAGCCCCGGAGCTCTGTACCCGGGCACCTGCGCGCGTCCCTGGCAAGCCGGGGGCCCGGGAAGTCTCACCATCGTGGCAGCTCTCCTCGCCCGCTCGCCTCCCAGCTGGGCCTGCCCACCTCAACTGCTCCAGATACGGCAGCCTCCGCGGTTGTGACACACTGCGAGGGAGGGGGCCGGAGACAGACATGCTGGGCCAGCAGTTGCCCTGCAGCATCACAGTGCCAGCGGAGGGGAGGGATCTGGGTAGGTCACAATGGCACTTCCCCTCCTACCGGTGGCTCGCTGTTCCAGCCCCGCTGCTTCCCACGCCCGGAGCGGTGGCGGCCGAGCTCCTGCGCCTAGTGAGTCGGAAAAGCAGTCCTGTGAGCGCGACACAAGTGTGCACATATACCCCACACCCACCAGGAGATCTGCATTGGAAAGCAGTGGAAAAATACTTCAAAACAAAATGCTCATTTCTCTCCAAATGTTCATAGACTCCCTGCTGCCAGCACTGGCTGGCGTCCTGGGAAGGCAGCTAACTGGTCTATTAGAGTCATCTCAGCCCAGGAGAGCAGGCAGGATCTGACCTCCCCGGGTCAGAGCCCAAGCTTCTGCTTCTACCACCGCCTGCCCGGTTACTGGAGAATTCCGTATACACAGGGCCCTTGTCTACAGCAAGCACTCCATAAGAGGGTTCAGGAATTGGGTGATGTTTTAAATACAGACAGAGTAGCTCCTGCTCCACCATTCTCAAGTATCTCCTCCTGACCCTTCCTACTTAATCCCCAAATGTGGAGTGTCATCTCAAGTACTACAGAACATCAGGGTTCTCATTGCCTCTGTCCTGTACTAAGACCTCTTCTTTGGGGCCACGGGCAACATTGAAGAGCAAGCGATATCCTCTCATCCATGGGGGGGGGGGGGGGGGAGCTGGCCCTGTTAGGAGCCTCTACTCCTTAGTTGCCCACATCACTAACTGGCTCCACCCTTTGTCTCCAGGCCAGGGGGCTGGAGGATTCCCATGCCTTGAGCTCAACACAGACTTCCCTATCCAGTTCATACTTAAAGATGTAACCTGAAGTCTTTCTTCTCTCCCTCTTTTCTTTGGAAACTGCCCACCACACAAGTCCGGGGGCGGGGGGGGGGGGGGGGGGGGCGGGAATCAGGAGTTCTTCAGGATGTATTTGGACTGCTGTGGCCAGATGTTGTGTCTCTGTTTCCAAACACAGATGAAGACATGCCTCCCCTCTGCTCTAAGGAACAGGCAGAGAACCCTGTGTGATGGCTTACTCTGTCGACCACCATTCCTGTATTGCCTATTGTGTGTGAGAAAGCATTGAACACACTTCCCACTGATACCCAGACTCCAAGCTGGGACTGCCCGCTCTAACTGCTCTGGATAAGTCACTTCCATGGCTGTGACACACTGTGGAGAGAGACATGCTGGGCCAGCCGCTTCCCTGCAGCTGTGCCCACAGAGAGGAAGGACCCAGGCCGGTCGCAGTCTTATAATGTAATAGCTTAAAAATGGAGACAGCGAGGGGAGGGTGGTGCACGCCTTTAATTCCAGTATTGAAGAAGCAGAGGCAGGTCAGATCTCTGTAAGTTCAAGGCTAGCCTGGTCTACACAGGGAGAAACCCTGTCTTGAAAAACCAAAAAATTAAAATATTAATAAAAACGGAGACCTATAATTAAATTGTGTCAAACTCATGGCAAATGCTCAATAAAGAATGGTTATTATTAATTCCACAATTTATTTCTCTTCCAAATTCCTCTGGCGTATTCTATTACTTCTTCCACTTACTTATTACTTAATATTTTATATGCTTTGGATTGCAGGTTATGTGTACATGTGTTTTGACACTCCCATTAAATTGCAACACCTGTGTTGTGTTCAGCTTCATGCCTGCCCCATCAGGACTCAGAGAATGTACCTGAATAAGTTAAATTTTCAAGTCTTTTTTCATAAGCCATTAAGTATGTTATGAGCAGCTCTTACTGTCTCAGGATAAAGTTGATGATACTCGTAGCAGTGATGGCATCCAATTGTATTCTATAATGGTGATACCCTGAGACATCTCGTCTCTATGGGATTTGATGGAGCCATGACTATACTACAAATGCTAAGTCTTTTGGTTCCAGAGTAATAAAAAGAATGTTGACTGTCATTCATGGAACTGTTGGCATTTAACCCCAGTTTCTGAAGCCCTAATTCCCAGGGGAATGTGTTTGGAGGTAGGACCTTTAGAATTAAAGAGAAGACCCTAGGGCTGAAGAGATGGTTCGGCTCTCAAGACCACTTGTTGCTTTTGCAGAGGACCAGGGTCCCACTCCCCGCACCCAAATGGCAGCTCACAATTGTCTGTAACTCCAGTCCAAGAGGATTGAGTGCTCTCTTTGAGCCTCCACGGGCACTTTATGCTTGTGGTACCCAAACACAAGCAGGCCACACACACACACACATCTCATCACATCGGACCTCATAAATATGAAATTTTTTAAAAGAGGTGTGTGCTTCTTTTTCATTTTTAATTCCTCATTCTTAAAATTATTTGAGCAATAATAGCTCAATCCCAGAATGCTTACTGGTACTCTCCCAGTCCACCCCTGCCTACCCCATGTGTCCCCTCCTGAGTGGATTTGGAAGACAAAAGGATGTTTTTACCATCCTATGTGTATATGTGCATCTATCTGAGTGTGCGTGTGTGTGTGTGTGTGTGTGTGTGTGTGTGTGTGTGTGTGGTGTAGCTTTAACCAGGCCACAGAGTGTCGAACATCTGGCTGTATCTGTGAGAGCATTTCTGAATGAAATCAACATCAAGTTAATCAGATGCCTTCCTACACGTGGATGGACTCAGCCAAATGAAGAACGGGACAGAGTGCAAGGCTTCATTCCGGGGATCTTCTGTGCTTTGTTGCATTTGAGACAGACTAGACACCAGTCATCTTCACACATTTCAGTCACCATAATAGCATGAACAACCTTCATGACCAATCTTGTTGGAGCTGAACGGGTGGCTCAGTGGTAGAGCATCATCCTAGCAGGTGCAAGGTTCTGGGTTTGATCCCCAGCACTGCACATGCAAATAAAATGAATCTTTTTCATCTATATCTAGGTAGATCAGTAAATAAAAAGACATTTCCAATCCTTAGAGGAACCTAATACAATCCCCTTTCTGCCAGCAGAGAAACTATGTCAAATCCAGGCTGTTGATGAGAAAGCAACCACCCACATTGCGTTTGAAAAGCCTTCTGAAGGAATTATCTCTACCTCCTCCACATTCTGCTTAGCAGGTGTGAGTCTACTTCTGGGATGCATTTTAGTGCAGTGAGTTCACGTTACTAGAATAATTATGATGACCTCAAAGCTGAGCCATACTCATTTGAAGAGGAGATAATGTCTACAGATGATACAGGAAAAGCTGGTCTTCATAGGAATGAATATGTATATGTATATTTGTGTTTGCCGTAGTGAGGATTGAACCTAGAGCTTTGTGTGTGCTACACAAGTCCTATAACTGACGTATCCTCAGGTTTTTGTTTATTTGTTTTTAGCCATTTGTTTGTTTGTTTGTTTCATACAGGTCTCTCTGTGTAGCTCTGTCTGTCCTGGAACTAGCACACTCTATAGACCAGGCTGACCTCCAACTCAGAGATCCACCTGCCTCTACTTCCCCGAGATTAAAAGCATGGGCCACCACTGCCCAGCTTCTTTTTTTAGCTTTTATTTCTTGAGACAGTCTCACTATGTTACCTGGGTTAACCTTGAACTTACTGGGTAGAATTTCGATCCATCAGTCTCAGCCTCCTGAGGAGCGAGGATCCAGGTCTACTGGTGATATTCCTATTTATTTGTGCAGTATTTCCTGACATTGAGTAAACACTGTGTTAAGGGCTTTCTGTACATTATTTCATTTACTTCTCTAATAGACTACAGAAAATAAACTTATCATTTTCATTGTACAGATAAAGACTCTGAAACCTACAGAAGTTGACTCTTAGCCCTCGTTAAGCAACTGGTAAAAGACAGAGCTTCACATCCAGGAGTCTGATGCCAGAGGCCTGAGCTCCAGTGTGATCGTTGGCTGTGAACCCAAACTGGGAAGCCAAACCTTACATGAAGAGGCTTGTCCACGCTCTATCAGCTTAGACCTTGAGGGTCCAGATACCCAGGACGGTGCTGCCAGATGACGAGTGCCAAAGATGGAGTTTACCTTGTGGAAAGAACTAGAAAGAAGTGTCCATGTCCAGGTGCCCAAGCCTGTGACAGACAGCAAGCAGTATCTTACCATGAGATAACCCGGATTCAAATGCTTGGCATTGGTAGTGAGCGCTGTGCATCCCTACCACCTTGCTTAAGTGTGAATATTCCAGTGTTGTTATCTCAGAGTCTGAAGGCATTTGGAACAGGGAGCATGAGCATTTTGGCCATAGTGTCACAGACACAGTGGCCTCCCTTTTCAAGTCTCCATGGTTACAGCATCTGTCATCAGGTTACCACCGGGAAAAAGCAAGTCTCAGGACAGCCGTAAGAGCACCCAGTCCCACCAGCTCTTCTCCTAGGTAATTCTTCCAAAATCAACATTAGGGTGACTGGGTCGCCTTTGTTTTAAGTTGGAGAAGACATCACCAACTGGCCCTGCTTCTTCCCCACGCCCACACCTGCTGGCGGGCTGACTTCACAAATGCTAACTCTCAGGGCATCGTCTCTTTAGCTTTAGCCTCAACTCCTATTCAACTCACCTGCCTAGGAGTGGGAGGGCTTTGTCATGACACCAGTAGACACATTGTGTCACACACAGGGAACTCAGAGGCAGTGGGTGCCTGGACCTGAAAGGCAAGGACAGCAAACAGATGCAGAGGCCGCTAAGGTCAAGGGATAAAGAAAACCTTACCCGTCTCCACCAATTGCTTCAGGCACCCTAGAGGTCAATGCCTAAAGCTTAGACCCCTCAGGACAACTAAAGTAATGTCAACCCAGGTAACCACCTGCTTATTTTAAAGAAACTGAGGCACAGGAAAGATATTTGTCAAAGAAAGGGAAGCCAAGATATCAGTTCACAAATTATGGTCTCAGGAAGCACACCCCTAAATTCCATCTCACAATGCCCACTCCTTATATAGCAAAAGTACTCCATGGAGTGCATGCCTTAAAAACAGAAAAGGAGGCTGTAAAGGGATCACTTATCCCTGCAGCTTGGCAGCAGTTTGTGCTTAGCATGCTCCAGACTCAGCATCCTAACTCG